TTAACACTTAACACTGGGGCACTACAATCCAGTCCTGCGCAGTCGGCTAGTCTCCGTTTAACCGAAATTCGGTTCGAATGACATTGCCAGGGCAATATGAGTTCCAGAGACTATTTTTCTTCACTTTTTCTGTCAATAGGATATTTTTACTTTTAATTAAATGATAAAATAAATAAATTAACGATAAAATTAGTAATTGATCCTTATTAAGATGACAGTTATATTTGTGCATTAACTTGTTTATTTAATACAAAATATTTTACAAAGCGTAACCGTTTCGTAAACGAAGCTGCGCATGGAAGATATTTGATAAACGCTTTTGTGGCATCCCACCTAAGGATATCAGATGCTGAAGTCATCTTGCAAGTCTCAAGTTCCCCTAAGCTTTATTGAAAATAGTACCTTTGGCTTCCGCGTAGCATGTAAATAACTTAGAATCTACTTGACTGCTTTCGAATATTTTAAGAGAAACCACATAAACAGAATCTTAGCAAAAATTTATTTATTTTCTTTAATTTAAATTTGACAGTTAATTTATTCATCATTCATTACAGCCTAACGAAAGTACACAAAACATATTAAGATGATTATAGATTTTAATTTTTATAATTTAAAGTTGTTATCAAGAAGATTCTTCTGTTTAATAGTTGCATGTTTACAAAGGGCGAACTTAACTCTTGATTCTATTCTTTACCAGTCAATCGCGGATGTGGTGAGAATTATTGGTAGGTGCAATTAAATCAATTATTTTGAAGATAACTTTAATGCATTTTTGTTTTATTTCTGAATATAATTTAATTACAAAAATAGATTTAAATAAAAATCATTATAATAGGTATGTCGTCTGATGAGGTTACCGAGCATAATAATTAATATCTCATTTAATACGAGTAGAACTAATTTAGCTAACTGATTAGACTAGGCATTTCTGACTAACTCAGACATGAGTTTAGTTTTGTTTGATGTCGAAATGAGTTCATACTTAATATTAAAATGAAATTCTAGGCGTATAAGGCATAGGTTAAATATTTAAGTTTATTGCTATGTTTAATTAGAAACGTATTTAAAAAATCTGGTAAAGCCACATATGCGCTAGTACATAAAGACGACTGAACACAGGCCTACATGGGGCCATGGGGCATAGATTGCTTGATATTTGCAATAGTTGCTACGCTTAAGAGGCGGGTTGGCAACCGAAGTTTTTTTTTAAAAATATTTTAGTTGTTATTAGGAGGATGGTGCTGTCTATCTTCTGGTTTATTCCCTTTGTCTCCTCAGTACGATACAATGTAGTGGCCATATTAAACCGCCTCTATGTTATTGTGTTTGTGTGTTAAGGTATTTTAAAATTTAAAATCCCTCGTATTTTTTTAAAGTTATTACGTACATTAAATAGTGACCGCTTTAAAAAGAATAATGTTTAAAAAATTGGATACGACGTTTTTAAAACAGGCTAAGTAGTATAAAATAATTTCTCCTAGACCCATATGCATCCATATCGCATGCAACACAATCGAAGCATGAAAAATGGCGTCGTAAAAAAATTCACTACCCCATATAATCTCGTAGGTGTTGTAAGAGCGGGCAGAGGAAAATAAAACAGAAGATTGACAGCAGCATCTTTTAAGAACAACTCAAAACAATGTAAAGCAGTGGTTTCCTACCGTACATATTATAGTACTGACTTTTAAAATTTCTATTCTCTAGCTCATCAGAAAGTTAGTTAAAAAGCGATTGTAAATTTTGTTTCGAGTAGATGTGCATAGAAGAAAGCGAGTTCATTAAAACGTGTTAAAATTAAAGAAACTTAACCAACTATTAAAGAAACTTTTAAAGATCAGATTCATGCAATCTTCACTGTCAATAGCTCACTCACTCCTTCTTAACATCCTGTCACACCTAAGGAGTCGTTCTAGATTCTTTGCGTAAAACCTTGTCAAAATGTGAATACGTGAGTAATGATTGATAGCTTTTTGATTAAGCTTAGAGATAGTCCAGTGTTTGCCAAGTCTTCGTAATTTTCCATTTTTTACATTGTAGTTTTTTATTTGGTATAATACTGAAAGCATGTCAAATAAAGATCGAAAACTATTTGCTTTCACAGTTGGATAAATAAAGGTAGAATTTTCATACGGAAATTTGAAGGTGGCCCTTGCATTGAAGTCAAGGATGAGAATGACCTTTTTTTATAGGATAAGGGTGACAAACGAGCACACAGTCCACCTGATGGTAAGTGGTTGCTTCGGCCCATAGACATCTATATCTATCCTCTATTACAAATCAAAGTACAGATGCGTTTTCACCCGTGAGGACTAGGATGGAATGCCTCATTTCCGGTAAAAAGGGCCTCCGGCCACCTGCACTCACCAAGCGAAACGCAGAGGTAAACCTCTACTTCACGCTGGTATTCTGTGAGGTCGTGGTACCATCCCGGTTCGAGTCGGCCCATCCGTGCGACAGCAAAAGCTGTCACGTGGCTCTACCACTGTTAAAAACCTGTTGACCTGATCGTTAAGAAGAAATGACCAGGTTCAGCTCAATATTACCCTAATTTTTATCATATTATTATTCTTGTTAATTTTTGATTATTAAATTCAACTACATTCCTTGCTCAGTATAACACTGCCTTAATTTGTAATGTAAGACTTGTTTTCATTATAACACAACTCCAATATTATAAACAAAAACACTATACACAAATTACTTTATCGACACACAAATCTATTTTTACAATTGCAATCTCTGTTTTTAGGAATATATAAACTATACAATATATTATTATAACCTCAAACCAGAACTAATGTGCATTATCGATTTCATACACGTTATTTTTGAATTATATTTATGCAGTCAGATAATCTTATAACACTCAATATTTACTATTTATATAATGATCTTTATTGTATTTTATATAGCTGCATATACTTATACCCGAGCGCTACTAAGCTTGAGAGTGGTAAAAAATACCTCTCAATACGATTTAAAAAATAAAATAAAATTTGCTGCTTCAAATGATTTTTAACAAATATGTATGATATTTCTTTCTGTGACTCGGTTTTATGTACACCTGAAGATTGTGCTAACCTTACATCTCAATCAAAAACTTCACTTATACTTTTATCGCAAAATATTCGAAGTAGTAAATCAAACTTTACAGACCTTCCAATTTTGCTAGAAAGAATCAAATTGTATTGTGATTTAATTGTTGTTGTGGTAGACATACTTTAAGTCCTCAAATATATACAATCAAAACGATTGAGTTGTCGTGTACATAAAAAGTAAAATTGTCAACGTAAGTAACAGGGAGCTCAATGTCTCTGAATCGAACTGTTTGAATAAGTATTGGAAAGGACATTGCTATTCTTGCTATTTACAGACCTTATTCTTTTAGTGATCCTACACATTTAATAAAATCTTGATTTGAGATGTTACAAGAACATCGTAATTGCAGTGGATATCAATATTGATATTGAACCCGATCAAAAAACTCTAATTTCATTGGAATATCTCAAAGTGCTGAACTACCATGGAAATTATCCAGGTCATACCATACCAATAGACGGATCCCCATGTCTTGACCATGCCGATCTGAAAACTAGTTTCCCTGTTAAGGCTCTAGTATTACAATTGACGGTAACAGATCACTTTGCCATTTCTATATCACTCTCAACTAATAAAATTGTAACATGTATTTGCGCTTATTTTAACAAAATAGACTGATGATGAATTACTCTACTGAAGATCTTATTAACTTAAATTTTAATAACAAATGCATAACAAATCACCCTAATCAAGCGGTTAAGTATCTAATTGATCCTATTATCCATATCTTAACTAATAATACAAAAAAAATATGCAACCACGCAGATGCAGGCCCATTAAACCCTGAATTACACCAAGTTTACTCAAATGTATGCAACATAGGAACAACTTGTACAAGAAATATCGCAAAAATCCTAATAATGAAATCTTCATAATCATCATTACAGCCTTTAATAAGTCCACGGCTGAACATAGGCCTCCCCCAAGGAATGCCAAAAAGCACGGTCCTGAGCCACCTGCATCAATCGACTTCCTGCATGTCTTACCTGGTCGTCACTCCATCTCGTGGGGGTCGTCCTACACTTCGCCTACCGGTACGAGGCTGCCACTCAAGAACCTTTCTTCCCCATCGGTTGTCGGTTCTTCGAGCTATATGGCCGGCCCACTGCCATTTCAGCTTACTAATTGGTTGGGCTATGTCGGTTACTCTGGTTCTACTGCGGATATACTCATTTCTAAGATTATAACGCAGAGAAACCCCGAGCAAAGCCCTCTCCATAGCTCACTGAGCGACCTTGAGCTTCCTCATACGGCCAGCAGTGAAGGACCACGTCTCAGATCCGTAAGTCTTCACTGGCAACACGCATTGGTTGTACAATTTCGTTTTAAGGTTTTGAGGTATGTCTGACGAGAAGATGTGTCGTAGTTTCCCGAACGCTGCCCAGCCGAGTTGAATCCGTCGATTGACCTCTCGGTCGAAGTTGGACTTACCTAGTCGGACTATTTGTCCTAGGTAAACATACTCGTCAACAATTTCGAGCTTAGTGCTCCCAACTACTAGCGGCAAAGGTGTGATATGGACATTAAACATGATCTTTGTTTTGTCCATGTTCATCCTAAGACCTATTCGTTGGGAGACACTATTGAGGTCATTGAGCATGGTGCTTAGGTCCTCCAGCGATTCTGCCATAAGGACTATATCGTCGGCTAATCAAAGGTGAGTGATCACAGATTACCTCCTAATAGATACCGCATCATTGAATATTTGTTCTGTTTCGAGTTCACCAAAATTGGGGTTGCGGGGGACGTGTCAAATGCGCTGTGATTGGATATTTAAAGGTCAAACTTTGAATGTACCAAACCGTAGTGATGGAACAGGGTTGGGACGTTGATCGATAAATTTGGGATTTATTGATTATTGATGATGGATAAATAAATATATTAATCAATTTTTATTTGATGTTTATTTAATAATAAAACAATGCATACATATATTTGTACATTTAATTTATAAATAGGTTTAAAGATATTTATTACTCATTAAGACAAATGCATGTCACTTACATGAGTACATAGCTGAAAGTAAATTTCACAGTCGTTCACCAAATTAAATTCAACAAAAATACACACACTTCACCCGCGCAACGCATTCACGATTATTTAAGTCAGTCATTTGCAACAAGATATTCATACAATTGTTTCTTGAATGTGTTGAACGAGCTAACATTTTTTATGTTTATTTAAATATATATGTTTCTCGATATACCCTTAATTCTACCTCGCTGCCATCGATATGACGTTCCGCTAGAGTCACGCAACCGCTCGCTCACTTGATTCAACTGGTATTTTGTAGACGCTCCGACATATATTTCACTGATTTTTAAAATGGATAAGCTTGGTATAAAATTGTCTCACAGAATTCTTAGGATCTGTCTTCCTGGATAAATAGAGTAATCTTATGTCTATGTATTTTTCCATGACACTCTTAGCTAAGTCAATGACATGATTACTACTTTCGTGATCGAATTGGTGATTTTTTATTTCAGGAAAAATATCCTCATTAACAAAACTGGTTAATGTTTGTGTTACAAACCGGAATTTGTCTTTGTAATATATTTGAGAACCTTGATTTGAATTGATTGAGCTTCGAATGACTTGTTCAGATCGTCTGCAAATTTTAGTGACCATATTGGACGGGAACAGTAGTCCTCCTGCATCTCTTGCGTAAATTAAACTGTTTTTTTTCTCATCCAGGGATATTAAAGCTTTAACGCACTTATTACATTTGATTTTCTTTATTAAGTAATGTACAACAGCGCCAGCGACATATTCTATTATGCTTTCGGAAAACTGAGATAACGGCAAGGAATCAATAAAAGTTTCATCAAAGCATTCCTCAGTCTCGCAAGTTTCACCCCTTTCAGTCGTCATATTTATACGTTTTATAGCTGAAGAACAGTTTAATATGGCAATTTGTTCTAATGTTATACAATTACCGGTATTGATTTCTTGCAGTTCCATGTGTACAAGCATTTTTCTATAAATTCCACAAAACTGTTTTGGCGTTGGGTTGTTATTAGCCCCTCCATGTGATCTCATATTGCAGAAAAATAGTTCAATGTGGTCTTGGCTGATACGGTGAAACGATATATAAGGACAGCGCTGGTTCTTTATCAGATCATTAAATAAAAATTTTGCACTTTCAATACATATACAGAGTCCTAAAAATCCGGTAAATCTCGGTGTATCAATTAATCGCGTCTGCCTATTTTTGAAATTAGTTGTCAAATTCATCAACACACTTTTGCACATTTCGAGTTTTGATAAAATAACCTCAGAGTTTTCAGCATTTAATGCCCTTTTCAGTCCATATCCATGCACTTTCGAATCTAAGATATCAAATAAGTCGTTTAATATTAACAAAAAATTTGCTGTTCCATCTATTCCTTGAAACTGGGTTATCATCAAGGTGTTTTTACAAAATTGGAGAGCTATTGAAACACTTCTGCTAAACAATTGAGTGGCAAGTTTCACTTTCATAATATTCTTTTTAAAAAACAAATGTTCAGATCGTAGCTTGTTAGCTGCGTGAAACTTCTCGTTTTCTTGCAACTGGTGTAACATCTCAATATGACTCCATTTTATATAATTGCCTTCAGCGTCTATAAATTCCCTGTAATGTTCAAAACTATTTCTAACTAATTTTATCATGTGAGCCGGATCGAGAAAGATAGCTATTTCATTATTTTGCGCTTTAAAAACAGTTTTCAAATTATTCGGATTTAAATTGCATCCCAGTTTCTTGGCCATTGCTATATTGGCTGGACAGCCATCAAAGGTCACAGCTTTGACTACCAATCCAGCTTCAAAGCATAAGTCAATAGCTTGAGTAAGCAAAAATTTTTTTTGGTCAGCTGTCACTTTATTAATAAAAAAATACCCAATAGGAACTTTCCATTTACCGTGTAATGGAACAACTAGAAAAACTAACGCGTCGGTACATTCATCTCTACAGTCTGAATCCACACTTCCACCGTAATCTACATAACCATATGTCTTTTCTACTTTCCTCTCAATTTTCATTTCATCAAAAACAATGCAGCAATGAATGGGCAGATTTGTCTGTGTTGCCTTAAATTTCAGAGCATCAAAAGCTTCTTTCGTGAAACCTGGACGGCCATCTATAGATCTGTACCACTTTCCTAGTGTTTTTACAGAGGGTAAACAAGTACTAAATGTTTTGCGTACATAATTATAAGCTTTAGTTGAATAAAAATTTAAGGTGAGTGCAAAAGCTCTCAACTGTGGTGAATATTTTCTCCTAACAATTTTACCTGATTTTCCTTTCACTATTTGACGGCGAATAATTTCACTACATTTGACCCCTAAGGAACTTAATGCGTCATTGTTTTCGGCTGTTAATAAATTTTTGTTTTCTAATTCTAACAATAATGACTTCAAAGAAACTATTTTTCTTTTTAGTCTTCTGTTGGAATCACTTAACTTTTTAATTTTTTTATCTTTTTTGTTCATTACATTAGTTAATTCGATGATTCTTCTACAAAGATGTTTTTTAACTGGAGTATCAAATGCAGATGGCGTATCAGGTGTAGGAGCAAATTTTCTTTTTTGTTTTGTAGGCGTTTCTAAGCAATGGCTCTGATTCTTAGGTGTTGGCGGGTTTTTTGCGTCTTTCAGCGGAGAACGAGTAATCTGAAATACGTATTCGTTTCTTTTAAAATATTACCAATAAATATTTAGGTACTTATAATACGTTTATTATTCATTCATACAAATTATAATCATATTATTAATTATTTTTATAATCATACCGTTTTTTTCAAGGATGTGCCGGCGACAGGAATTTCCGAATTTTTAGCTGCAATATCTGCACTTGAACCTATGGTAGGGATGGGTGCCTAGAAGTAGTATTATTAATTAATACACTATATGGCACGTCTTCTAAATTTAAATGTACTTTATAATAATAATAAGATATTACTGAAGTTCAAGTAACAAAAGAATACCAAGTCAAAACAATAAATACATTATAACTTTTACATGTTTATGATTTATAAATCCTTTAAAAATAGTTTGATTTCGACATGTAACATTCACCTTAATATTAGAATATCATGTTTCATTCAACCACTTAATGCTTTTATTGGATAATCTATATTGGTACTAATCCTTTTAAAAAAATGTAAAAGTCCATACCAAAACTGGCAAGTATAGAGATGGTATAGCGGAATCCAACAGCCTTCTACGTTTTTTCATAATATGAAGATTGTCTTCTGTGAAGTGTCTTGAGCATAGCACACTATTTTTGGTAGGAAACCATCCGTCCCCTCGACAAGTTGCGTCGATCCACATCTTTTTCCTTTCGGGACATTTAGGAAACCTATAACATATAGGTACCAGAATGATATGCCACTATTTTTATAAAATAATATGACTTCAAAAAAATAATTAAACAGTGACCAAACATAAAATATCGACTTAAAAATCACAACACTATCGATACACGTGCTGTTGTTAGACAAAGACAACTACTGTAATTTGCGTAATGAGTGAAAGGGACATTTCAAAAAGACATCAACGGGTGCTCAATTTTTATCACTTTGCACTATTAATTGCCAGTATAAGTTGATCTCTGGTGCATTTGAAATAGGTTAACGTGATAAGAATAGAAATTGCTTACCGATGAAATGTTATGCCATCTTTTTGATAACTGGATGTCTTAGCTGACTTGCCACACCATTTTACTGCACAGGAAGCCATTTGTAATGTATTTTTGATACAAAACTATTTTTAAATTGTCAAGAACTCTTACGCGCCTACGGGTCGCAAACTTGGTCAACACTGATGTCATGATTGTTAGCGTCACTTCATATGCTAGCTACAGCAAGTATGTGTTGCGCGCGTTTGTGGCCCTGTATGCGGAATCTATTAGGAGGTAATCTGTGTGAGTGATGTACTCGCCATTGATGTTAATACCGTATCCTTTCCAGTCCAGAAGCTTGAAAACGTCTTCCAATGCAGCGGTGAAGAGTTTCGGGGATATAACGTCACCCTGTCTTACAACTCTCTGCAGTCGGATAGGTTTCGTACTCTGGTTCTGTACTCGGATAGCCATCGTAGCTCGAACAACGAAGAACGGAATTAAAGAGCTTCTGAAGGACTTCAAGTACCGGTCTTCCACCCGCTTTCAGAAGCTCCGCTGTAATTCCATCCTCGCCTGGGGCCTTGCCGTTTCTTAGGTGCTGGAGAACCATTCTAATCTCGCTCAGACTGACGTCCGGGATATTTTCGGAATAGTGTCGGATAAGACTCGCTCTTGGATCGTTACTCACACTTGCGTGTGGCTCCAACGATGACGTGTAAAGCTGCCCATAGAACCTCTCAATCTCACTCAAAATCTCAGGTGCCCCGGAAACGATGCTGCCGCACTCGGTCTTCAGCTTCGACAGTTGGCTCTTTCTGGCAGACAGATCTCTGGCAAAGACTTTGGAGCCTTGGTTCCGCTCGATCGCTTCTTCAATACGAGCCGTATTGAAGTTGCGTAAGTCCCGCCGCATGCATTTGGAGATCTGTCTGTTCAGTTGCCTGTATGCTGTCAAATCTGTTGAAGAATGTAGCTTCATCTCCCGTCTAACAGCCATGAGATTGAGAATGTGATTAGAATTTTTGTGTTCTTCTGCAGCGGGTCTTGCAGAACTTAGCTCCGACCCCATGGACACTTTCTACGAGCTTGTCATTCATATCGTCCACTTCATTGCAGTCTTTTAGGCACTGAAAACGGTTATGTAACTCGAGCTGAAAGGACTTTGCAATAAAGCACGAGGGGGACGGAGCGTTGTCTTCATCAGACGAGACCTCTCCAACTTAACCTTTAGGATCAGCGTATCTCTAATCATTCGGTGATCGCTACCTGTTTTCACTCTCGCGATCACGAAACACGAACACTAGAAATGATCCACTGACGATGCTGTTCACAAATTAATAAATCATATTGTTATTAAACTTGATAATAAGCAAAAATGCTTCGCCATGTTTTTAGACCTTGCTAAAGCTTTTGGTATAATTTCGATCTCTGTTTTAATTTCTAAGCTTGACTGCCTGGAAATAAGAAGCACCCCGATGTCCCTATTTCAGAGATATCTTACAAATATGGTTCAGTATGTGATAATTGGCTCATACTTGAGTACATACCAACCTATTACATATGGTGTACTTCAGCGTAGTATCCTTGGTCGACCATGTTTTTGTTATATATTAATGACTTGTGTAATCCATGCCTGGAAGGTGGTTCCATATTTCCTTATGCTGATAACACAGCACTTGTTTTTTCGGCCAGTACTTGCAGTGAGATATACCAACGAGCGCATAAAGGTTTGATACTGCTAGAAAATAGCTCAATAACCACCTAATTACATTAAATTTAACCAAAACTAAAGCACTAATTTTTTCTACACGAAACAATTTCCAATCATTAGCAAATTCACTTAATATAATAGTTAATACTTCTTCACAAACTAGCAACACTATAACCGACAATGTGTATTATTTAGAAAAACTTACTACTATTAAGTATCTTGGCACAATAATTGACAATAATTTAACGTTTGAAGACTATATTGAACACTTATTTCTGCTAGAGTACAAAAGTTCATTTACACATATGTGATGAAAATGATTTACTATGCCCTGTGCCAATCGGTACTAGGTTATTGTATATCTACCTAGGTGGGACTACTAAAACTGTCTTTATGCAAATTGGACCACCACTTGTTCGGAATAAAGGCAGAGGGCCTTGGGAATAACCAGCGAGCAATCCAGTGGGCGTTGGTTTTTCCACTGTAACATTATACTATATGAAATAGGCTATACAATTATTTAAAAAAAAATTAAGATACAGCTTAGTAGCGATCACGTCATTCCTAAAAGCTTTTAATAATTACCAACCATGTAACAATTTATAATATGATAACTCTTTTTATAGGCTTTGTCTAAAAAAATTAAAATAAAATTTAAAAGCAAAAGAACAATTCATACATAAAATTAGTTGAGAAGAAACGGTAGCGTCTGTATATTAAAAATATCTTTAAATTAAGGGTCAGTCCCTTAATAACTCTTTCAAAGATTTTTGTCCTGAGAAGGCGTCAAAAATGATATTTAGATTTGAACCTTTTTAGGTTAAGTCTTTTGTCACTTGGAAGAATTCATGCATCCTGTGGTTGTTTGATATTCGATTATACATTCTCAACATAATGTACCTACCTACATAATTGAGAGTTTTAAATAATCGTATCTCTATTATATATTTGCATACTATAAAGGTATATTTTTGGCAAGGCTCCAGGGCCTTTGTGTTATACAGTGACATTCTCAGATGGGCTAGACCCCAGAGCCCGAAAGCCAGTAAAAAAAACAGTGACATTTGTTTTAGCTAGTACTGCCACAACATTAAATGGAATTGTTACATATTACTACTCGTATGATTGAGATAATATATTATTGTAGGAAGTTCTTTGTAAGAGAGACTTATTTTCAACTATATCACTTTTATTTTTATTATTACTGAAAGTATAGTTATTACTAATAATAACTTAATATAAAAATATTATGTGTTTGTGTGTTGAGTTAGAACTAAGTTAAAAAAAGATAAGATATTTTGGAAACGAAAAGAATATAAAAAGAAAAGTTAAAAAGTGGTAAAGTTCAAAAACGAAAAATCGCAACATCCAAGAATTCCATGAAGGAAAATGAAAGAGTAAGAGTAAATTGCACCTGGTGTTATGACATATTAATAAGCATACAGAAGAAGATATGATACAGAGAAAATTGGACGTGACTTTTGCACCAAATGGCTTTGAGATGTATAGATTTTGTTGGACTAAAATATCAGGCAGCGTTTGGGAAATTACAACACATCTTCTCGTCAGGTATACCTCAAAACTTGAAAACGAGACTGTACAACCAGTGTGTGTTGCCACCTATGGAACTGAGACGTTGTCATTCACTGCTGGCCGGATGAGAAAGCTCGAGGTTGCTAAGCGAGCTATGGAGAGGGCTATGCTCGGAGTTTCTCTGCGAGATAACAGTTTTATGCAATGAAACAACACTTTGTATTTAATGAAATTTAAAGATCTTACGCATCGGTATTATTTTATGTACGCATATTATGCTGTCCAACCATTTGAAATAACGCGTATTAAAAATAATTAAAATATGTACACATACAGAGATTACAATGAAAATAATCACCTGACGTAAGCCTATGAAGGCTTATGTGTCACGAGATGAGTTCAGCTTTACTCTATATTTGATTTTTGAAATTATTTTAATTCTATATTTCTACGATATATACATATTAGGAGGAAATAATTTTTTACTAACGATACATATTATGTTTATTTACATATTTGACAAACATTTTAATATTGCTAACGTGAAACCATTGGTATTTCAGGGAAGTCTGTGATCATATAATAGACGGCCAAATCATTCCATCACATTTCATACAATCCTTGCAAAAGAACATCGATTCCTACCTATTTTATTATATCGATTACCTATTCCAAGAATGATTTCAATAAAGAAGGCGGCTGGGTACTACCACCTGAGATCCTTTAGTTAAGCATACCAAATCCAAGCATACTACTGCAAGACTTCCAGATACAGTAAGCTCATTCTGCGTAGTTCGGACAAAATTATTAATTGAAAACTAAAGGTGCTCAATCCACTTTGTGACCATGGGTGCTGCAAAGGAATGGAATCTTCGGTAATTAAAAACAAGTAAAATTAAAAGTTATACGTAAGAGTTCATCTTCTGTTCACATATATAAAATAAATCATTCAATATGATCTACTAGATATTTCTACTTAAATTAAAAAAACGCAATTTCATAAAAAAATAACTAATGTAAAAATGATCTGAAGCTGGATGTAATTAAAAATTTCTAACTGAAAGGCTAACCTTTAATTTATGCAAGATGACAAAACATGTAGTTAACTGCTCAAACTAATTACTCAAATTCCAGACTCATTATCATTACCATCAAAACGGTCAAAGTTGAAAACAGGCTTCGCTCCATAGATTCATTCGGGATATATTTGCCATAATTGCCAAGCCGTGTGGTAGCGACGTAAGAACCCCCCCCCCCCCCATTTATTCCCGTGGTTGTTATAAGAGGTGGTGGAAATGTCAGAAAAATCAATATGGCTTTTGATAGATGGTACAATAATTCGTTTTCGTAGAACGGCGACGGTGCTTCAAAGGTGCACACACCTCACGATGTCTGGCACTGCAATCGTCAGCCCAACGACCACGCGTGACAGTAAAGGCAAATGTTTATTTCTAAAGAAAGAAGCCCACGTTAGATGTGGGCCTTAACAGACCAATAAAGAAGAAATCACAAAATTAGTTCTCCATAAAAAAGTATAGTCGTCTGTAGTATAAGGAAAGTCATCACCTCGCCTCTTTCCGTAGTTTTCCAAGAGTCGTCTAAAACCCGAAAGGTGTTTTGTCGATGTCAGTAAAAACAAATATATATACACCATTCAATGAACAATTAAATTTTATGTTAGGCCAGAAAACATATATACTGATCTGCCTACTATACCAATATATCCAATAGTAGTGAACTGTACAGAAGCTGATGAATATCAATTGTAAGCACATAATATTGTATTTTTGTCATTCTATTGCTTCAGATGACTTTTAAATTTATTGGGGTATCATAATATTATATTCTATCAAAATGCTTAAGCTAGTCGCAAATCCGGTCTTCATTGAAATGTAGTTAGCATTGTCCGTCAGTTGATAAAATATGAGCAGTGACTTTGATAAATGGAGGGCGGG